CTGAGCAGGGGCTTCTACAGGGGAGGACGGCCAGCGCCGAAGGGGTCAGGCAAGGGGTTCCCAGCGGGATCACGCCGACCACTTCCTCCCCAGGTAGGAGGTAGAGGCAAGATCTTGCCACCAAACAAGGGGCAGAAGAAGTGCGCGAGGTCATCCCGCAGGAGAACGGTAGACGCGATCATGGAGGACGAGATCGAGGAGCAGGAGAAGCTCGAGGCTGCGATCAAGGTGCAGAAGGAGGAGAAGGAGTCCAACCGCTTGTTCCAGGAGCAGATGCTGGCGGCGCTGAACCAGCTCAACCAGAGGATCGGCCAGCTGGAGGGCCAAGCGAGCTCAGCCAGTTCCAACGCCGGGAGCTTCGTACAAGTGGATTCCAGTCCGAGTGGTCTGGCAGAGGTTTGAACTGCGCGAAGGAGCTGGACCCCAGGAAGCAGCGCTGGCTTGCCAAGTGCATCCAGGAGAACGGCCACTTAGAGGACTATGAGGCGCTGATGGCCCACGGCGGTACCAAGTTGATGGAGGTCGCGTGCAGCCCGACGTCCATCCTGAGCACGAAGATGGCGGAGAAGTTCGGCGAGGACGCTGTATGCCGCATCAGTGCGTGGAACGGTTTCAAACTGGGGACCCCTGGAGGCAACCAGAGGGCTCGGGAGGCACGTGATGAGGCCGAACCAGACCACCTGTGGATCAGTACGAGGTGCGGCCCCCTGTCGAACCTCACCCTCGGCTTCAACGGCTCCAACCACATCAGGGCCGAGGCCACCAGGAAGCGCAGGTTGCAGGCCATCAAGGAGTACAAGGGCGCGGTGCAGTTGGTGTACGACCAGGTGGCTCAAGGCAAGCATGTACACTGGGAGTGGCCCATCAAGTGCGAGGGCTGGGGCTACACGATGATCAGGAAGATGGTGGAGGACTGCTCCATGACTGTGGTGAAGGTGGCAGGCTGCCAGCTCGGCGTGAAGGACGGGAAGGGCCTGCCGCTGTTGAAGGAGTGGCTGATCGCCACGACGTCTCCAAAGATGGCAGCCCGGATGTCCCTGGAGTGCCCAGGAGATCACCGACATGGGGAGCTCACGGGAGGCAGTCTTACAGCGGCCACCAGCTATTACCCGGACGAGTTTGCCAGACGAGCTGTTCGCGCGATGACCGAGGAGGCCGCGCCCGACTACCACGAGTTCATGAGATGCTTGGTAGAGCCCGGGGAGGCGGTCGACCAGGCGATGGTGGCCAACCAAGAGGAGACAAAGATGAACTCAGGCGTGAGCTCGAAGGAGTACCAGCAGATCATGAGGTGGCTCACCTCGATCCACCGTGGCTCAGGTCATAGCTCGAAGGCCTCCATGCTGAACGCACTTCGGAGGAAGGGCGCCAGCCCACAGGTGCTACAGGTGGCTGAGGACTTCCACTGTGACGCTTGTGAGGAGGCGAACAAGTTCAAGCCCACACATCCGCCCGTCAGCTTAGAGGCCATGCCGCCGAAGTGGAAGCACATCCAGGCGGACCAGTTTGAATGGGAGCACCCGCAGACGAAGGTCAAGTCCAAGATCTCCCTGATCATAGACGAGAACTGCCGGGTGCGCGTCAGCAAGCTACTGTACCACATGGTTGGCAAGGACCGGCACAGGAATCCTGTGTGGGCCGACCTCAAGCAGTTCTACGAGGAGCGCTGGATGCCCTACTTCGGCAAGCCACAGAGGGTGAAAGTGGACCCAGAGGGATCCTGGATGTCCAAGCAGGCGGCTGAGTACTTTGATTCCGACTCCATCGCGTACGAACCCATACCTGGCCAGGCCCATTGGCACATCTCCCTCGCCGAGGAGGCCATCCAGGCCACCAAGGGGACCATGGACAAGTTGGTGGCGGAGAACCCCGAGATGACGACGGAGGAAGCCCTGGCCAGAGCGACCGCAGCTGGGAACTCACGTGAAGATGTTCGGGGACACTCACCCCTTCAACATGCCCTCGGGCGAGCACCAGATCTGGACGGACACTTCTTTGAGAGCGACTTCGACGAACTGCCCTACGTGGAAGCCCAGAGGGTCGACAAGGAGTTCGGGGAGAACTACACAAGAATGTATGCGGCCGAGCAGGAGTACCTGAGGCAAGTCTACATGCGGCGCATCAGCAGGGCAGAGAACGCGAAGAATCAGGCGGTGAAGTCCGTGGTGCCAGGCATGTGGGTGCGCTACTTCCGGAAGGAGAAAGGTGAAGCTAAGGGCCGATTCAAAGGGCTCGCGAGGGTCCTGGCCACAGAGACGGCGCGGCCGGTGGACGGGGACCTTGGCGAAGGACGGGCCCTACACCCTGGGCGTGCAGGATCCGTGGTGTGGCTGGTACGAGCCGGGCGTATCATCAAGATGGACCTCTGCCAGATCTGGGCGGCCTCCTCACGGGAGATCGCCTACGCAGAGCTGATGGGAGGCAAAGACACGCCCTGGACAGTCCACACCTTCATGAACCAGACGATGAAGCACGAGTACCTGGACTTCACTGGCCACGACCCCACCGAGGACGACGTGGAGATCTCGACCTGGGAGGGACTACCTGAACCAGCCCCTCCATTGAAGAAGGCCCGCACAGGAGAAGCCACAGAAGAAAGCCAGGCCTCAAGGAGCCGTTCAACACCACAAGTGCGGAAGAAAATACTCAAGAAAGGACACCACCCAGGAGGAACAGCCGACCAAGTCCGAGCGTCTCGAGCAGCCCTGGCGGAGGAGCAGATGAAGGAGAACATGGCCCTCATGGCGAAGTCCACTCCAGACGCCAGAGCCTTTTGGGCTCGTCAAGGCACGTCACTGGAGGTCTCCGTTGAGGTTCCCCGCTCAAGCAGGCCACGAGGCACATGAGTACCTACATGGCGAGCCAGCTGCGAAAGGGCAAGCGCGAGATCTCGGAGAGGACGTTGACCCCGGACGAGGTGGCGAAGTTCGGCCAAGCAAAGGCCACGGAGGTGAACAACTACATTGTGTCTTCGGTGCTGGAGACGCTCCCACCAGGAGTGACCCCGCCTCCCGAGGACGTCATGCGCATGAGGTGGATCCTCGAATGGAAGGTGGACGAGAACACGGGCGAGAAGAAGCCGAAGGCAAGGATTGTGGTCCTGGGTTGCATGGACCCCGAGAACGAGCACCGTCCGACCACCGCTCCAACCATGACGAGAACTTCGAGGCACCTGGTGCTGCAGACGATGGCGTGGTTGGGCTTCAAGGGCTACAAAGCGGACGTGACGGGGGCTTTCACGCAGAACAGAGAGATCCAGCACGACCTGTTCGTGATGCCTGTGAAGGAGCTCGCGGCTCGCGGCGGCGCTGGGGATGCCCGAGGGCGTTGCGATGCGGCTCAGGGAGGCGGTCTACGGGCTCGTGGAAGCAGCGATCGAGTGGTTCATGACCGTGAGCGAGGCACTGGAGGAGTTCGGTTGGACCCAGATGAAGATGGACCCCTGCGTGTGGGTGCTCTACGGTGACGCCCACGGCAAGGATAACGGCTTCACCAAGGAGGCGCTGAAGGACTTCACGAACCCAGAGGTGCTCGGGGACCTGATCGCGGCGAAGGGGAACATGGACATCATAGCCATTGCGGGGTCGCACGTGGACGACTTCCTGCTCGGTGGCAACGACACGGACCCCAGGTGGATCACTGCCCGGGAACAGATCGAGAAGCGCTTCAAGTGGAAAGCCTGGGAGTCGGAGGAGTTCATGCAGACGGGGGTGCGGATCAAGCAGCAGCCCGACAGGAGCTTCCGCATGGACCAGAGCGAGTACGTGAAGACCATCGAGAAGGCGTACCTCACCCTGGAGCGCAAGAAGGCCAAGGACATGCCAACCACCGACAAGGAGAAGGGCCAGCTGAGGGCTATCTTAGGAGCCATCGGGTGGAGGTCCGAGCAGTCAGGCCCTATGCACTCGGCCGACACGAGCCTTCTGCTCAGAACCATACCCTCGTCCACCGTGCAGACCATCAACGAGACCAACCGCTTGGTCGATCGTGTTCGTGAGTGTGCTGATCTACCTGTGGTGATACACAGCCACTCTCAGGCGCAGGTGCTGGTGCCAGTGGAGTGGTCCGACTCCTCCGAGGCCAACCGTCCCGACGGAAAGTCCACGAAGGGCCTGGTGGCAGGGCTGGCACCTCTGAAGATCCTCAAGGGCGACGAGGCGGACGTGAGCCTCATATCCTGGAAGTCCCGGAAAATCGATCGTGGTTGCCGCAGTTCCGTGGCATGTGAGACACGCTCCGCCGTGGATGCTGAGGACGAGCTGTTTGGCATCAAGTTGCAGTGGCTGGAGATACTGGGCAACAACATCGACTGGAGGAACCCCGAGGGAATTCTACGCAGACTGCCAGGAGCAGTGGTTGTGGATTCAAAGGGCCTGTACGACAAGCTGCAGACGACAGTCTACACCTTCCGGGGCAAGGAGAAGCGGACCGACGTGGAGGCCATGACCCTGAAGGAGGGGACGCAGGCTGCGAACAACTGGATGCTCTGGGTGCATGGGGATGCCCAGCTCGCCAACTCGCTGACGAAGGGACACGAGCCAGGCCAGCTGCGGATGTACTTCAACAACGGGCACCGCTGGAAGCTGGTCTACGACGAGAAGTACCAGAGTGCACGGAGGAGGAAGGCAGCTGGAATCCAGCCGTTCGAGCACGTAGGAGCGGGCATTCTCAAGACGCCAGGCGGGACAATGGCTCACATCAGTGCAGCTGCGTGCCCGGACTTCCCGCCATATGAGGCCATGACCGAGTGCAGTTCAGACGAGGAGGCGGACTCAAGGATGCTCAGCTTGGAGGACCCTTATCCGTGCAATTCCGAGGTTGAGCAAGCCTGAGCATGAGTGAGTGAGTCCAGCAGGGTAGCAGATGTTCCATATTTGTTCCATATTCCATGGTGTTGCATAGCTTCAGTTTGTGATTGAATTTGTGGTTTTACGTATGCGTTTTGCCTGCTACCGTCTCGGCTCTAGCGCCCCCTCGCTTGTGCTCAGAGGCACGGGAGTTTAGACGCCCTGTGAGCAGGGCCCGAACTTTAGGAGTTCAGAAAAAGATCAGAGATCAATACCGCTGCGCAATTTCCGCCGACTACTTGCACTGGGGGCCCCCAAGACGCCGCCAAGGAGCCCCAAGAGACTCCAAAGAGGTCCCCAAGAAGCCCCCAAGAGGCCCTAAAGAGAGCTCCCGGGCTGGCGGAATGAGCGAAGCGATTAAATGTAAACCAAAAAGAGGACTGCGTTTTTCCAACCAGTGCTCGCCAGCAAATCGTACACCTCGTTCCAATCGTAGCCCCCATTGGCTGACATGTAAAGTGTCAACATTCCAGCGAGAACGGATCCAAACATCTGGCTTGCCTCGTCGCTGAAAGGGACCTGCAACTCATAGAAGTGTGCAGTGATCCCTTGGACAAACAGAATCCCGAAGAGATACAGAATAAACACGATGACGAGGAAACTCCAGACCAGGGACACCACCGAGCCTATGACGGAGTTCATGATCAGGCGCAGCTCGCTGACGATGCGGAACATCCGTATGATGCGCAGCACCTTCGCCAGCTTGAGGATCCGCAGGGACCGCATGAACGCGAGGTCGGTCGGGCCACTGTCGGCGGCGGAGATCAGCGCGGCGAGGATCAGGTCGACCACGTTGAAGAGCACGAGCATAAGGTCAAACACGTTCCTTGAGGGATGAAAAAACGACCCTACCCTGGGTTACGAGTGCGTGGTCTGTAAACCTCCTGGTAACCCCCAAAGCCTAGAGCCGCCAGGACGCGGCACATCACGCAGGGTTTACCCTGTCAGCCCACAGGAGTTTCAGCGCGAAGCGCCTCGTAAACCAGGGTAGGGACGTTTTTTCTGCCCTTGAGTTCCAGCGCCACTCGTGGTTGCAGAAGAAGTAGAGCCTGTGAAGGCGCAGCTTGAGGGCTATCTCCACCGCGTAGAACGCCGTGAACGTGACGTTCGCGGCGGCCATGGCGACCGTGGTCTCGCCGAGGAAGCCGCTGGGCTCGAGGTAGTGGCGCGCGTCGTAGTCGGTCGAGAAGATGGCAAAGACTGCGTTCAGCGTGATCACCAGAGCGCAGATGGTCGTCCACTCCCTGCTGAGGACAAAGGTGTGCAAACATCCGCTGCGATCGGGCTCGCTGAGGCTGTACACCCAGTCGATGCACATGAACACTCTGCCGAGGATCGGCTGGAGGCCCGCCAGCCCGCGCTGGCCGCAGCACAGCCACAGGAACGCGTGGTAGGCTCTCAGCGCCGTGCTGCGCTCCGCGCCGTCCTCCATAGCCCAGGCACCCAAGCCCCAGGACGTGGAGAGGGTGGAGTCTTTGCGACTCAAGGTCGCCTTACTCTGCCTGGGCTGGCGCGAGGCCTCGTCCGCCTCGTCGAGCTCGGCGAGGCTCAGGATGTCGTCCACGAGGACCTCCAGTCCCCGGCTCGTCCTCGAGCGGGCTGTCGAGCCCAGCGAAGCGTGCGAACCGCGGCCTAGGCTGACCATCGAGCCGTGCGAGCCGTTCGAGCTCTGCTTCGCCATCGAGCCCGGCGCCGACTCTGCGGGCGCCTGGCGCTCGCACCCCGCGGGCGCCCGGCGCTCGCAGCCCTCCGCCCGCCCCGCCGCGCCGCGCGCGCCCCCGTCGAACGGGCACCGCCGCGCCGAGAGCGAGCCCTCGCTGCCGCTGCCCGGCGCCTCGGACACCCCGCCAGCGGCCGCGGGCCCCGGGTCGACGCCGGGGCCGCCAGCGTGTCGCATCCGGCCGTCCGCCTCCCGGGCCGGGCCCGCGGGGAGCGCGATCGAGGCGACCCGCTCCAGATGCCGCTCGAGCAGGGCGTCGACGCTGCCCCGCAGCAGCAGGCACTCCTGGGACAGCCGGTCCTGGAGGGCCCCGCGCGGAGAGCGCCCGCGCCAGCCGCGAGGCAGATCCGCCATCGGCCGCGCGAGCGCGCGGCAGGCGGCACCCCACCGAGGGCCAGCGGCGAGATCGCCTCCGACGCGCCACGCGGGCGCAGCCCGCGACGAGGGGGGGCTGGCTGAGCGGAGCCACAATGGCTACGTGCGGTGCCACCTGCTCTGGGATGTGGCGCTTCCCGTGTGCGCGAGGCGGTCGGCGCGGTGGTCGGACGGAGCAAAAGCGGCGGGCTTGTGGGCAGTTGGTCTTTGTACAGTACAATATAGTAAAGTAGGGGCGACATCAGCCCGGAAGCTCAAAAACGAACGACAACTCAACGAGAGCATGGATGGATGGTCCGCAAGCCACTGCCGCTCCGGCTCTACGACACATCCGCGCAGCGGGATTCGATCTTCGACTCTCTCAGGGTACTTGTTATATGTTTGCTCCAGAAATTATCTCTGCACTCTCGTGCTCCGGTAACGGTTTGTATGCGGGAGGAGGCACACCGTAGGTTGCTCAAGGATTTCTGCTTCAAGCGATGTTTAGCCCAAGGTGGCAAACAATTGTCTCGCGATGCCCATGAGACGGCCCACAACTGATCCAGACGACACCGTCATAAATATTGCCGTGCCCTCTGGCCCCCTGAGACATGGCCCGAGGACCCAAGGCTTAAGGCAAAGGCTGCACTGCGCTGCTGGGCTTGCCCACAAGGAGGTCCACATCTCAGTGGGCCCCGGAAACGGCAAGGCCATGTTTCCCCGTTTTCGAAAAAGCGTCTAGAAAATGGAAAGAAGCGAGTGAAAAACTGCGACCAAGAACACCAACACATCGACTCTGGGAGTGGAACCTGCACCAGAACCGGCAACAATAACGGCGACGGAGCCGGCAAAACAACGGCGACGGAACTGGCAAAAAAAACCGCAAAACTGAGCCGGTAAAAAAACGGCCCTGTCGGTTTCAGGGCCCACTGAGATCCAGACGGCCCTTCAGATTGCGCCTGGATGATACCCTGCCCCCTGGCACGCTACAGCGTGCTAGAATGCGAACGTTTTCTTATTCGCCGCTTGAAATTGGGCAGAGGGAAGGGGGGGGAGGAAGGGGTCTGGCTCTGAACCTCTGCTTAATGCGACTGCTTGAAACAGTGCGTCCTGTGGAGCGACCCCACCTGCCTGAAACAGGCGCCAAAAACAGCCAAGATCTACTCCATTGGGGGGGAAGGGTGGGTGCGAGGGTCCGCGCCGATCGGCAAAACAATGAAGAAGAAAACGATCACCAAACTCATTATGTGTTTGATTGATTTGGGATGTTCCAGACCTTCCTGCGGACATCTTGGATCGTCTCGTGAGGCATGTTGTGGTCGAGGGCGTGTCTGGGGCTTCTTGGGGCCGTCGGGGGCCGCCTTGACGGCTCGCTCGCTGGTCGCTCTCGAGGGCGATCGAGGGCCTGCCAGAAACTGGCAAAACCCCTTGGACCGGCATCGTGGGTGCGAGTTCGGTGCCAACTCAAGGGGGCCTCCCATACCATCTTGTCGGCTCTTGTGAATCGACGCTAGTCGACGCTAAATCGACGCTGATCGACGCTAAATCGGCGCTATCTCATCCACTCCCAGACGCTAATCGACGCTACTCGACGCTAACGACAGACTTGCGAGAGTACACAAGGCTACAAGGCTCCCATGATTTGCCACCGAACCCTGGGACCGACATCTTGGGTGCGAGGGCCCGAGCCGATCGGCAACACAATGAAGAGAAAACGACGACAATGCCAATGGTGTTCCTATCGTAATTCATGGACCACATCCCAAAGATAACTTCGAGCACCCAGAAAAGAATCGAAACAGTGCCAAACGAGTATCGCCTCCCAGAGCCCGCCACGTGAAAACCCTCAAGCGTTCGGAATCTGTGGGTGGTCGACACTCTTTCTGGTGGTCAAGGCCGGCCCGCGCCGATCGTCAAAACGATGCAGAAGAAAACGACGACAAGGAGGAGGAGGAGGAGGAGGAGGAGCAGGAGGAGCAGGAGGAGGAGGAGGAGGAGGAGCAGCAGCAGGAGGAGGAGGAGCAGGGAGGAGAGGAGAGGAGGAGGAGGAGGGAGGAGGAGGAGGAGGGAGGAGGAGGAGGAGGGAGGAGGAGAGGAGGAGGAGGAGGAGGAGGAGGAGGATGCCAAGCGCTGCCTGGCACGCGGCCCGGCCGTGGTCTCCCGGGGGGGCCTCCGCCCGCCCGCCACGAGGTCACCCCAGGGCCCCCTGCAGCCGCGCCCGCGGGGCCCCGCGGCCTCCGGCACGGCCCGCTGTGGCTCCTGTTTTCCACCACCACCACCATAAGCTGGAGGGGAAGGAGGAGGAGGACGAGGGGGAGGAAGGGGACAGGGAGGACGAGGAGGAGGAGGAGGTGGAGGTGGAGGAGGAGGTGGAGGAGGAGGGGGTCCCCCTCCCCCTCCAGCTTATGGTGGTGGTGGTGGTGGAAAGCAGGCCCATCAGTATCGGCGGTGGACAAGGCTCCCTTCAGTAGACCTCCCCTCGGTGAAGACGGCCTGGGGCCGAAACCGAGGGACCTGGACCCGCAAAGATGACGGCCGCGACGCCTTCTCGCGAAGCGAAAAAGGCCAACTCCTTCATCGACGTGTCAGGGCAGGAGGCCTATCAGCCTCCGACAGCATGGCTCCAGGACGGCCCAATCTGGCTCCAGGACGGCCCACGTTGGCCTCACGGAATGCCCGGCAGACGCGCTCCCGAGGCCACGCCGCCTCCGAGACGGCACAGACGTAAGCGTTTTCTTACGCGGCATCTCGACAGTGGGCGGAAGGGCGGGGGGGGTCTGGCTCCGGACCTCTGCCTCATGCGGCCGTTCGCGGCAGTGCGTCCTGCGGGGGGGGGGCTCCGCCTGCTTGTGAAACAGGCGCCCCAAACGGCCAAGATCTGCTCCAGGGGCGTGCGAGGGCCCGCGCCGATCGGCAAAACAATGAATAAGAAAACTATCACAATATGGCTCCAAGATGGCCCACGTTGGCCTCAAGACGGCCCGAGGTAGCCACAAGTTGGCCCTAAGAGGCCTTCGAGAAGTCCCAAGAGAGCCTCAGGAGCCCTCCCAAGAGGGCCTCCACAGGCAAAAGCCAATGAGTTTCCTTTAGGCTGTTCAATGTGTTTGGGGTTTTCGCCTTTTCGAGCTTCCGACGTCCCTGGAAGCCCCCAAGAGAACCCCAAGACGGCCGAAGAGGCCCCCAAGAGGGCCCAAAGACGGCCCAAGAGGGCACCCAAGACGGCCCAAAGGGCGCCCATGTGACTGCCTAACAGGGCTCCAACGGCCCAAAGAAGGGCCCAATAGGTAAACGCGAACCGACAATGTGAGCCTTCCGCTCCAAGAGGCCCCCAGGAGGCCCCGAGAGGGCCAAAAGAAGCCCCCAAAGAAACCACCAAGACAGCCCCGAGAGGCAAAACTCATTGATTATCCTAAGGTGTTGAAATGTGTGTGGATTCTTGCCATTTCGAGCTTCCGACGCTCCAAGACAGCCCAAGCGACCACTTAGACTGTCCCGACACGGCTCAAGAGGCTCCCATCAAAACTACAAGACGGTCCAAGAGGACTCCAAGACTGCCTCAGGGGCGCCCACCCCTCCTCGTCCTCCTCCTCCTTCTCCTGCTCCTCCTCTTCCTGCTCCTCCTGCTCCTCCTCCTGTTCCTCCTCCTCCTCTTCCACCTCCTCCTACTTATCATCCTCATCATCATCATCATCAGCATCATCATAATCAGCATCATCATCATCATCATCATCATCATCATCATCATCATCATCATCATCATTATCATCATCATCATCATCATCATCATCAACATCATCATCATCATCATCATCATCATCATCCTCATCCTCATCCTCATCCTCATCCTCATCATCATCATCATCATCATCAGTATCATCATCATCATCCTCACCACCACAATCATCATCATCATCATCATCCTCACCACCACCATCATCATCATCACCATCATGAGATCATATCATTTCATATCATATCATGTCATTTCTTATCATATTACATCATATCATATCATATCATAGCACATCATAGCATATCATAGCATATCATAGCATATCATAGCATCTCATAGCATACCATATCATATCATAGCATACCAAATCATACCATACCAGATCATCATCATCATCACCATGATCATGAGCAGTATCAGCAGAATCCTCATCAGCATCATCAGCATCATCATCAGTATCAACATCATTATCATCATCATCATCATCATCAGCAGCATCATCATCATCATCAGCATCACCATAATCATCATCAGCAGCAACACATGAATCTTTATCTTCATCGGCATCATCATCATCACCAGCGACATCATCACGACAAGCAGGACCATCATCGTCACCACAATCATCATGCGCATCATAATCATCATCAGCATCAACATTATCAGTATCATCATCGTATACATCATCGTACTAATCACCAGCAATCGCCATCCATATAATAATAAGCAACATCATCATCATCAGAATCGTTATCATCATCGTCGTCACCGTCATCATTAACATCATCACCATCATCATCACTGGCGTCATAATCAGCATCATCATCAACAACATCATCAACTTCATCATCATCAGCATCACCCGCATGATTATGATCATGATCACTCGCAGTGCCATCGGCATCGAAGATATCAATGTAGATCTCATCGTCAGCAGCACCAGCATCCACGCATTCACCATCATGAGCATCATCATCATCATCATCATCGTATTGCTCACAAGCATCATCACCACCACCATCAAGATCATCATCATCACCACAATCATGATTGTAAGTATCATCATCGTAGACATCATCGTATTCGTCACCATCGTCACCATCTGCACCATCATGACCACCATCAGCATCATCATCATCAGCATCAGCAGCATCGTCTGCATTATCAAAACCATCATCATCGGCATAGTTTTCACCAACAACAGCAGCATCTGCGTCCTCGTACTCATCGACCTCATCATCACCACCACAAGCAGTATCATCATCACCATCATCGTCATCATCATCATTCACATCACCATCATCATCGTAGACAGCATCGTAG